TGTGTGGGGGGAGCCGCTGCTCTGTATGGACGTCCTTGTGTTGCACGGTTGGCTGCGGAGGGGCTGGTTGGAAATCGCGGTGCAGTGAGCGGTGTAGGTGACGTGTTCCTTTGTACACGCCGGAGTGTTGTTCAGTTCCGGGAAGTCCCAGTGACCACCGGAGAGGGCTGTGTCTGCGTGCCAGGGAAGCGCTAGAAATGGTGCATCTTCTTGTGAAGGACTGCCCTGGTTCAGCTTTCATGTTCTCATCCCTCTCCCTTCTCTGTTTGAAGGGCTATAGCTGAGAAGATTGCTTCCTGGTTTTGATTTTTTTTCTTTTAGGGAAGGACCAGGATGGTCCCTCATAAGGAGATTATTCACACAAGGCACTGGCGTTAGAGCAGTGCGGACTTGTTTCTCTAAGGCGATGGAGAGTTCTGCTGTACGCTGGAAGCGGTCAGGAACAGAAAGGATTGTTTCTTTTGAGAACGAATGGGAAAGGGAAAAATACACAGTAAGGAAAAAAAACCCAACAGAGGCTTGAACGTAGTCAGTAGAAGGAGGAGGATGGTTGATGCGTGACTGCTGCTCATAGATTCCTTCTGCAGAAGACAGTGTCTTGAACACAAAACCAAAAAAACGACAGCGGAGGTACTAAGCAGCTGCTGATTACATGAAGTGTTCCCAGTCCGGTGCTGGTTTTAAGGGAGCAGATGCTGACTTTTAGCTCTAAGGTGCTTCTGCAAATACAGAAGTGCCAAGTTGTGTTAAAAAGAAAGCATTTGCGTCCCAAGGGTCTCCAGATACGGTGTGGCTGATGGGACTGTAGAAACTGGAGCGCTGGTAACGCACCGAGTGTTAATGGTACTGGCGATGTACGAGGGAGCTGAATTTGCCTTTTCATTTATTCGTGGGTGTCTGTAGTGCAATAATGTTCAATAACCGAACATTGAAATAAACGTCTTGGTAGTTTGTAAACCCCCGGGTGTGCATGAAGCATCGTTACAATAATTGGCCTATATGTAGATGCAAACTTTCTCTGTTGAATTCTCTCAGTTCTAATAAATTAGTTTCCAGCTTGTTTTAAAATGAAGGTGGGGGAAGCGTATTTTACTGGATTCATGCTTAATACTGATGTATTAATAGATCAGTATTAAAACAGATTTGAAGTGAATTATAAACTTGTGACATATGCAGAAAATGTGTCAGCTTAAACTTTAGAAAAAAAAAAAAGCTTGTTACCGTTTCAGTTTTCAGACCAGTGTTTGGAATAAGAATTATTCTTCTGTTTCGGGCTGTGATCTGTAGGAGCTTTGCTGGAAGCTAGCCAGTATAGCATAGCGGGTTAGTCGTATTTATAAGTGCCTTATTGTAAGGTATTGTTTGTTTGCTCTATGATACACACTTTTATCCATAAAATTAAAAAAAATAAATGGGAGAATAATTTTTTTTTGCCCTCAGCAAATCTCAAAGTAGCAGTTTTATGTTTTGAGAAGGATAAGTAAAGCTAGCCAGAGATTTATCAAATGTTTGAAATTATAAAATGTCTTTATATAAAATCATAAATCTAAAAAAGCAAGAACTGTTTTTTCTAGAACAGTGGGAATTATTTTATGGTATTTTTCACAATAAAGATATTTATGATGACAAGAATGCACTGCAGTGTATTTGTCTGCCCTTCTTTCCTCATCCCGCTCTCCAAGTTTGAAGTCAGAGCTGCGCAGAAGTGCAGCAGGAGGCTGCCAGAACACTGGCTTGGGGGCTGGATTCATGTTTCCGAAGCAGCTACTGCAAAAGGCGTCAGGCCCTCACAAGGAAGGTACGGGACGGGGTGAGGCAGCGTGTGGGTGCTTCACACGGGGGGTTCAAGACTTCTTTTCCCTCCCGACAGGCCCGACACAGCTGGTTGCTGCCGGCGGTGCAGCCCTTTCCTCACAGCTGAGCAGCGAGCAGGAGCGCTGCGATGTCTCGTGTTGAACGTCGAGGACAGTGTGTGACAAACCGTCCCAGAGCGGTACCTGGCTCGCTCCGGGGGCAGGATTGCATCGCAGCCGCGTTTTCTGGATAGCAGCCTATCCCAGGAACGCTTCTGCCCCTCAGTTGCCAGGGGGAGAGGAGGAATCCCTCTGCTCGCTCCTGCAGCTGGAGCTTGCAGCCAGCCAGCAGCTCTGGGGAGAGAAGGTGGGCGCCTGAGGGCACATGGGACGTGTAGGATGAGCACGTGCTCAAGTGTGATTTCTAGGCAATGATGAAAACTACTTCTAAAGCCAGTACCCTGATTTTTGTTGCTTATTATTATTTATTTTTAATCCAGTGAATGTTACAAGGGGGCTGACAAAAGTACTGGAACTTGGAAGGCAGGTGAGAAATTGCTGAGCCTGCAGGAGTTGCTTACGCAGCAGCTCTTCCAGCTGGACTTCACTGCCAGCTGAAGAGGACGAGAGGCATTGCTGCTCTGCAAGGGCAGAGCCTATAGGAGGCTGGAGCAGAAACTGCATCATGGGCCTCTGAGCAGATGGTGCCCTCAAAGTACTCCAGTAGAGCTTGAGCTCCATCGGTGACTTCACCGAAGAAAGTGTCGATTCATACCCTGTGCCATAAAGCACCACCGAGGGCTCAGTCTACTCGCCAACACAAGCCCTGCGCAGCAGCATGAGAAACGAAGCAGAGTCGTGTCGTGGCATCCATAAAGATGACGGTCCTACCTGAAGTCAGCCAGGGCACGTATGTGTGCACGAATGGCAATGTGATTTCTCAGCATCTGTCTGTGGAAACCTTTGGCCTACCTGTCAGATAGGAGCATGTCAGACTTTCTTCACATCAAAAAAGCACAACAGTGAGAGGTGCAGTTACGGTCTAGGAGAGATTCTTGAAATCTCAAGTCTGTGAGGACTGGGGAAGGAGTTACAGCAGGAGTGCGGGGTTGATTGGTGGTGGTTTTCTTCAGGCTCAGAGCTGTAATCAAGAGTATCCACCTAAGGAGAGGAGGGACACACAGTGCACAGAGACAGAAGTGATGTGTACAGTCACAGCTGAGCAGCTGTTTGGCAGGGCTTACAGCGTTGCCAAGTTCTGGCAGTTTTTAGAACACAAGAGTGG